CCGCCCTCCCCCTCCCCCTCAGGGGGGAGGAGGCAGAGGTGGCATGACGGCCGCCAACGAGGACTCGCCGCCGCCACCAGGAGAACCAGGAGGACACCTGGCCAGGGCGCAGGAGGCAGCACCACAGCTCGCCCGCCCTCCCCCCTTGGGGGGGAGGAGGCGGAGGCGGCATGGCGGCTGCTAGTGGGGCTCACCGTTGCTGCCAGCAGGAGAAGGAGGAGGATGTCCGGTCGGGTCGCAGGAGGCGGCGCCTCAACTCACCCGCCCTCCCCCTGGGGGGTAGAAGGAGGCAGCAGCAAAATGGTCTCCAGGCCTCACCAGGAGGTTGGCATCTGCGCCTCACCTAGTGCGCAGAAACACCTCGAGCCGGCCCAGGTGGCACTTACAGTGCAATCCTAAGAAGATTCACTCAGAGAGGAGGCTTACTCTGTAGTCAGATCACTTTGCCCTAAAGGTCCAGATGGATATCCCAATGTCCTGTCCTTATAATAGAGCTGAAGCTTTTCATGACACGGAGATAAAGGATATTTTATTGGTTGACTGTCTGCCTTTCTCACTGGAACTCAAGGTGAATTACATAGAATCCATAGAGTAGCATATCCCAAAGACAATATGCCACATAGGATTCAACTTGTCAGGCCTGTAGCCAGGATGTTTTTTGTTGGAGGGCATTTAAATTTTTAAGGAGGCAGTTAAATTACAGGTAATTAAATTAATCTGAATGCCTTTCTTTAAAGGAGGAGGCTCTGGAGTCTGTTTCTAGCCCTTCCTTTAAAGGGCACAGGGTAGCGAGTGTGTCAGTTCCTAGGGAAAAAACAGCTCAGATGGTATTCTCTCACTGTCGTTTAGATGCCAGGATATATATTTTACCCAGGTTTTTCATTAGGGGGTTTTATTTTTCCAGCTTTGTAAATAGTCTGTTTCTAGTCTGAGGTCTGATTTATGGATAGTTTTATCCTGATTATGTCCCTGTTCTTGTTTTAATGGCTTGTTGATTTGGCATTGTATTGTAAACTGCCCCCAGCAGGACTCTGATGAGGCAGCATAGAAATCATTAAATAAATAATATTTCTCCAGCCTTGCTGCTAGTTGTAATGCTGTTTTTCCCCCTAATGAGATAGGAACTAGTCCATTAGTAATTTTGCTTGCAATCCTAAAGACATTTTCCTGGGATGATGATGATGATGATTTTAGATTTCTTAACCACCCTTCCCTGCTTGTGTGGGGCTCAGGGTGGTTTACAACAATTAATTCAGTACATTATCGAATCAATTAAAACCATAAAAATTCAGTATTAAAAACATTCAAAATATTTAAACATTGAAAGACATTTTAAAACAAGATGGCAGTGCTAGTATTCAGTCATAGGGGGGAGGGTGCCAGGCAGATGTAAGGAACCATCAATGGTCTTAACCAAAAGCCTGGTGGAACATTTCTGCCTTACGTGCCCCACAAAACTTTAATAAGTCAGACAGGGCATGGATGTCATTCAGCAGAGAGTTCCACCAGGCTGGGGCCAGGGTGGAAAAGGCCCTGGCCCGGGCCAGTCGGATACCTTGGGGCCTGGGACCACCAGAAGATTCTTGTCTGCTGATCTTAATGCCCTTTCGGAGGACATATCAGGAGAGGCAGTCTCGTAGGTATGTAGGTGTCACGACAGGGCCAGTGGGACAAGGCAGAGAGGGGGAGTTCACAGTCCAGTCTGAGAGTCAAGCCAGAGAGAGAGCAAAACAACCAGAGCAAAAGTCCCAATACATAAAGCCAGGCCGTAATCAGAGCGTTACCGAGAGTCAGAATCCAGATAGGCAAGCGTCGAAGTCAAGGTACAGAGCCGAGGATCAAGAGCCAGGGGGTCATCAAAACGCGGACTGGAGTCAGGAGCCAGGAAGTCAGTCAGTAGCCGGATACCAGGAACAGAGTCAGAGGTGCAGAGCTTCTGGTCCGAAGGATGTGTTTGCCAGCACGATTAGCCAGCAGTCAGCGACCTATTCAAATAGCTCGCTGTGTTGTTAACTCATTAGTGCCTCATTAGCACTGCCTTGCGAAGTCCTTGATCCCACATGAACTCCGGACTTATTGATCTCCAACGCACAAGCGTGCCTCTTTACATCTGGTTGCCAAGTCCTGGCATCTCCGATCCCTTAGCCGGTCAACAGGTCGCGGAGAATCGGGTGGCATGCTGCTGGGGCCAGGCACTGCCTGATCGGTTTCAGGTGCAGGCTGTTCTGGAGGCTGGTGCTCATCCTTTCTGATACTTAGGTTTGACAAAGACTCCTGTGCCTCCGATGGTGTTAAAGGCACTGAGTCCTCAGTTTAAGAGCTCCTAGGCGCCGGGTCGTGGGCAGGCATGACAGTAGGTCCCTGACCATTTAGGGCTTTAAAGGTAAGCACCAAAACCTTGAATCTGATCTGGTGCTCCACCGGCAGCCAATGTAGTTCTCACAACACTGGATGTATGTGCACCCTCCATGTGGTCCGCTTAAGGAACTGCTTCACTGC